AACACCTCTTAATAATAACTTAAGAAAAACAGTGTAACAGTTTATTCACTTTCTTTTGTATTAAATCTGCAGATTAAAAACACATTCCCTGAAAATATAATTGCTGTGTTTTCATTTAGGAATTTACGCTGTATTACATTTGGACACATCTGTTCACTGAGAACCAGAAATCAGCTAATAATTACCTATATTTGTGTTTTCCTATCTCAAAGCAGTGAAAATACCTTTGCAACATGATGCTTTTATTGCTACTGATTGCTACACATTCCAAGGTAGTGAATCACATGCACTGCAATACGTTTTGTTGTTTACCCAAATTTACTAAAGGTCTGAATTTGGTATCTTGAATTATGAGAAATTAAATGAAATTACAAGTGTGAGAACTCATTCACCTTACAGTTCTGGTGAAAAGATTGTGGTTATTGGATACAACAGTAATACTGGTAACTATGTCATTCAACAGCTTTATTTAGAAAAAAAAATGCATTATCAAATAGGTGCACAAATGACTGTTCCAAAAGTCACCCCTGTAGTTGCCATCTGTTGTCACATAACATAACATGAATCTGTCCATGCCCCAAGCCCCATAATGTCCTTGCCGCTCTTGAAGACAGCCAGTTGCAATTACTTCTCCAGTGGAGCATAATTCAACAATTTCTCAATAAGATCCACATGAGAAAGGAGCATCCTCCGACAGCAGTATCTCTTCAGGCCCAGGGCATCAAGGGCATCACTTAAGAGGGAGAGAGGAAGTAATGTTAGTCCTAATGCACGGCACACAGATGACTGAATGAATAAGTAAAGTAAATGGACATTACTGCAGACTATAGTAACGATAGCTGCGCAAATGGCCTCAGGTAATTGCTATTATTCACTCCATCATCAACCTGTGTATAGACCTCTTGAAACCTTGGAGGAAATGAGCATAGCCTGTGACAACTGAATAGGCTAAGAGGTTTTGATGTGGTGTACCACTACTTGACTACTTCTAGAAAATTCTTTTTGCACAGCTGCTCCCATGCATGTTGCATATGTACATTTTGGGTGTTTTTACTTGAAGGTCCAGTGTATAGGATTCAGGGGCATCTCTTGGCAAATATATATGATATTCACAACTACGTTTTCATTAGTGTATAATTACCTGAAAATAATACTTTAATAATAATACTTTTCGTTACTTTAGAAAGGGCTATTCATATCCACAAACAGAGCAGGTCCTCCTCCACAGACTCCACCATGTTTTTTCTAGAGATGTACCGATACCACTTTTTCCTTCCCAATATCGATTTCGATCCCTGAACCGAGTACTGATCCGATACCAGCGCGTAAAAAAATGGATGGGATATGAATTGTTGTATGTCTCAACTCCTAAAACTCTATGTAAAATATTAAGAAATAAATACATAATAGTAGAATGAATGCCATAAAACTTTTTTATCATTAATATCCAGTGTTGATACAGATCAAGACACAGGTTAAAGTGCAGCCACACAATTCGGTAAAAAAGACATTTTAAATGCTACAGTAGAATGCTTTTTAAACTCCGCTTGGTTTCCGTTTCGTTTGCCTGCAGCATGTGAATGCGTAATGACGTGAGGCATTACATGGTACAGGATTGGTCATAGGCTGTACTCGCGATACCGCATTTTAGGCAGTATCGGAGGCATTTCCAATACTGGGATCCGTATAGGTACAACTCTAGTTTTTTCTATGGTAGCCCAGATCAGCTGAACCAAACACTGTTTTTCAGATAGGGCCGGCCAGCATAGTTCTCCTACACGCTTGACACACGAGAGTGGTTTCAGGTCTGCAACCTCATCGCTAGAAACCACTAAATCCTACACAGTACACCTTTTAAAGGAGCAGTGTTTAAGATTAAGGGGGATTTACTGGCATCTAGCAATGAGGATAGCATATTCCAACCAGCTGAAACTTAATCCAGTTAGAATACCTTTAATGATCATCTTCAGGAGGTTTTAAAATCAGGAGCAGAATTACTCGCAGGTTTCTCTATCTCCACAGACAAAATGAACCAGTAGAAACACTGAATAAAGCAGTTTCACCATAAAAAAACAAACTAACAAAGGGACTGCTAACTTTAGTGGCTGATGTAAAAACATGAATGGCCCTATCTAGAGCCAGTGTTTCATTTGTCTGTTCTGGGCTACTGTAGAAACATAGTGCATCATGGAGATCTCTGGACAAGGACCTGCTCCCTATGTAGATATAAACGGCTCATTCTAAGGTAAGGTAAGGTAGGTGGGGGCGGCAGTAGCTCAGTCCATAGGGACCTGGGTTGGGAACCGGAGGGTCGCCTGTTTGAGTCCCCGTCTGGACCAAATATGTAGTGTGGACTGGTGGCTGGAGAGGTGCCAGTTCACCTCCTGGGTGTGCTCTTGAGCAAAGCACCGAACCCCCCCCCCCAACCGCCCAGGGCGCCTCACCAAGGGCAGCCCCCTCACCCTGACATCTCTCCACTTTGTGCATGTATAGGTCCTGTTTGTGCATGTGTGTGTCTTTCGGACCTGTGTGTAATTGACAATTTCCCCTCAGGGGAATTAATAAAGTAAATAAACTTAAATACATAGCACCTCTTATTTTCAAGTTATTATTTACTTATAACACATTATAATCCATTTCTGCCAATATATCCCCTAAATCCTACACAATGAACCTGTAAGTAATATGCAGCCATAGACCACTATAACTGCCCACCTTTGGAGATACAGTGACAGAAACCAGCAGGTATGTATCTCACCCTTCAGTATACTCGGCTTGAAGTAGACCGAGGTATGCTTCCCACTTGTTACCCACGATCTTCCCACAGGTGAAGCACCGGACAGGGATAATCATTGTGAGACACCTGGGGACAGAGGCACATCACAGTTTTAACACTCATACCTGGGAATAAACTGTAATGCTAGTTAGATTGCTACGCAGCTAGCATCAAACAGCTAGTTAATGTTAACTAAGCCATTTCCGTTTATACTGACGTTAACATAAGTTTTTGTCTCTGAACAATTACACTGGGCCGAGAGGTGTTTATCTTGATGCTGCTTGTCCCAGTCAGTTGGCAAATTAAGGTGTAATGTTAGCTAAGCTCAGTAAATAGGTTTAAGCTAGCCCACAGACTGCAGCCACGCGACTAGCACAACAGTAAACTGTTAGCTAACATTAGCCGCCAATAATATGTTAGGAACATTTAACGATGGTTAGTTATTTATCAGTCAAAACTAATTTTAAAGAATGTCAAAATTTCACAATGTAAAGAAATATTTACTCACCGTCAACAATTTATATTACCTAAAGCTCAATGTTAAGTTATTCTGATAGAAAGTGCTGGTAGCTTCGAGCTTCCCTCGTTCTCTACAGTCGCAACAACATTACCGCTTCCGGCCTGGATCTTTCAGAATAAAAGAGCAACTTCCACAAAGGTAAACTTGAACAGTTTATTAGATTTGTGTGGACAAAAAATGTTTGACATAGAATAACACAGACCATTTCAAGAGCACAACAAACTACAGCTTTTAAATGACTCATAGATTTTACTCAACTCCCTAACACAGCATGAACACAAACTGATCAAATTTAGAAAAATGAAAGCTTATGTGGCAGGTTGTTGGATTAGACTGCATTACTTTGAACCAGGGGTACCTAACAGAATGGCAACTGGGTGTAAATTCAGCACAAAAACCCCAGTTAGTAGCCCAGCACTGCCTCTCTGTAACTGTGTATGACAAACTGCAGATGGCCCAAAACAAACCATCCTACCATTCTGTGCAGTGGTGTTTTTACTCATTTTGACTGGACAGATCTCAGAACTGCAGCCAGTAAAGTACAGATAGTACATGCTTTATTGAAATCTATGGACTTTTGTGAGTTTTGTTGCACCTGTTGTGGCAAGTCTCAGTCTGCATCTTTATGATTTTTTGTGTGTTCTTTTAGTGACCCTGCTCCCAACACACTTCACACAGCCTCTACCTGAGTAGAGGTTTAATCAGGCAGAATAAATAAATATTCTTTTGGGCAGAGCGCAGAAGTCTGATAACTGTCTGTTGTAAGCCAGTCTAGAGATCGAGAGTAAACATCACACATTGGGACCAAACACATAAATATTTTAGTAGTAGTAGTATTCCTCAAATGAGTGCTGATGAATGATATTTTATGACTGAACTCTAAACGTAGTCAAAGATACGGTAAATATATAGGTATTGTCAAACTGCTTTGTTTGAGTGTTAATGAGCATAAAAGATTTAACTTGACAGTGGGTGTATTTTCCAGATGAGCTGCTGTTTTTAAATGCAATTTCTGTGCCTCAAAATTGTGAACTTAGAAGCATTTTCGAAAAACAACCTCAAGTTTTGAGAATAGTGCTTTTTGTTCATGTAACTCCTAGTTTGAAGAAAGGTATTCGCATATCCAACTGTCTCAGATGGAGGTGCATTGGAAAATATCACTTGAGCCTTTGAACAGAAAATCCCACACACTACTTTTGCTCAGCATCACAACTTATTGTTAACACTAACATTTTTGTCCTCCTGGTTGAACACTCTTGACGAAGCTCAGGAGGGCTGAAATGCTGAGCAAGAGCAGTGTACAGGATTTTCTGTTCAAAGGTTCATGTAACTCAAAAACCTATAGAAGTGCCATAGTAACACTTCATAAAATTTTAAAACTGAAAATCACCAAATCTTGGACTTTGTATTTCAAAATTGGAAATGTAGATGGGAACAAGAGACATTTAGCATATATCACAGAATTCATAAATTAAAGTGAAGATTTAGTAGGGTAAAATTAATATGAGGACAGAAAAGGGGTGCTCCAGCATGCTAATACACAAAAAGTATGGGTATTATGTTGTCTCGACAGTACAAATTAATTGCTCAACTCAAATGAATGATCACTTTAATTAAAAGACAATTTCACCTTTAATAATTTTATAAAGCTGAAGGCCTGTGTTCTCCCATATTCCAAATAATTGCAAATAATGAAATACTCACTTGGGCTGGTTCACTGTCTTTAATAAAGGTTGGATAACGACCTCTTTCTTTTTTACATTTAGGTGTTTGGGAGCAGAGGGGAGTGTGCATAAGGAATATATGTTAGAAATATATCAAAAATATATCATAACCATCGTTATCATCCGTACAGTCACCATGAAAAACATCATCATTCCCATCATCATCATCACCTGTAACATCACCATCAGTGCCATCGCTGACATCATCATCATCAACACTATTATCACACCATCATTTATGTAATTTAACTTGCTACAGCACATGTGCTAAATGAGGAGTCCTATCTGAATTATTGCATTTATACGCTGTTGAAATTATGAAAATAGGATTTCTCTTTTTTTGGTACACTGTATTGTACAATGTAAGGTGAAGTTTGTTTTGGTGTTGGCATACCATCTTTTGGATGTGTTTGGGGTGTGGACTTGTGGTGAATGAGGCATGTTCTTACAATATTTTTGGCCGGTAATGTGTCATGAAATTAGTACGTACCCTTACAACTGAATTCAAACAATGGTGTGTATCAGAACTGTCTTTCTGCTATCTACTTATGCAACAGGAACGTCCCCACAAGCTTTACAGATGAGTGGACACAAGTGTGTACAGCTGTACAGGTGAGTGTTTGTTGCAATAAAACTGTGAATGCTTGACTTTTTTCCCCCTGTTGAGTAACCTATGCAACAGAAGTTCATCTACACCCAGCTTTCAGTGCAGTAGCAACCTATAGGCGGCTTAAATTTTTTCCTAAAGCCACATAAGGGGAGCACAGTGAAGACATAATGTTTTGGACGCAGGCTTTAAACCTGATAATGCAACACTAATGGCCATCCAGCCTGCTACAGCTAATTATCTACCATAAGATGTAAACAGGTTGAACCAGCACGACAGTGGATGTTGTGTGAGACATGAAAGGTTATTGATTTGTGACATCATTTGACAGTAACATAAACTCGTTCTTATTCTACAGCAAGAGGTAACTTCACTACAATTCTCTGACACACACTGTACATGTTTTATCTCCTACAGTCTCCTACATCCCATTCCTAAACCACTGCATGCTTATATTTTCTGTCACAGAAAAAGTTGCTTTTGTGAAATTGCACTGTGCCCTTCTCTATTTGGCTTTTTTTGGGGGGTATGCAGGGATTCATTGTCTCTGAACTGATCCCTCTACTCAGGCATTGATTTAGCCACAGCATGTGCAATACATCACAATGTATATTTCCATCTGTTTTCAGGCATACTCTTTCAATTGTCCTATTTAAAAGTAAAATAAAACCTGGAACAACTCTGATAGCCAGAGTTATAAGTTTCAACATTATGAATAGAGTTTTTCATGATCTTTTTAGCAAAGTGAACCAAGCTGATTTCCGGTGCAAGAATGTACAAATATTGCAAGTACATGTCAATATTTGTGCAAACTGGATTAAACAAGATAAAGCAGTTGAATAAGCTTTAGAGAGTTCAAACTTTTTAGCTCAGTACAGTGTGTCTTTTTTTTTTTTTTTTTTTTTTTGAAGGAACTGATTATTACAGTTCAGATGCAGTATTGAAGCAACTTCATGCATATATTATGTGTAATTACACTCCATATACAGCCGTTATCAAAACTTGAATGGTTTGATTTTCTACATGTGAAAGCAGGCCAAAAGAAAACTCAAAACATAAGATGCACAGTGGCTCCCCATCCCCCGTTTGTACCGTATAGTCTATGAACCACTCAGCAACAACGCTCTAACTCATCAACCGATACATACTTTAATTTGAGATAATGATTTGGTTTTCTTAATTTCTCCTCGCCAGTAGCAACACTCCCAGCAAGATGGCTCCTGCAGCAATAACAGCACCACCGATGAGAAAGGGCTTCAGGTGCTCGAGAGAGTCTGTGCCAGAGGCCGCAGCCTCGTCAGCTGCTCCTTCAGCCTCTGCTGCCCCATCCTGGGGAGGAGGATGCTCGGGCTCAGGTGCTGCAGGGGCAGGGTCGGCCTTGCGTGGGGCAGGCGGCTCCTTCTTCTCTGCTTTAGTTGCTGCCTTGGGTGCTGGAGCCCCGGACTTGGCCTTGGCTTCCATGGACTCAGGGACAGAGAGGTGTGGTCTGGTCAGGAGGAGTCTTTATAAGGGCAGCTCTGTGCTGCTTCACTGGAGGAAACACAGCAAACAAACACAGCCAGATTATCCCTCTAAATTAGGCTCAGACATCATGTTATCTGCTCTGCTGAATGTAGAGACGCTGACATATGAAAGAGCCCTTGAGATCTGTGTAGTCACTGTACGGCGCTGAAGCTATCATGTGGTGGTGGGGCCTTAAATGTGACCTTGGAAAAAGATGACATTGATGGGAGCACGCTGATGCTCAGAGGACAGGGAATAGTTTATTTTGGTCACAGCAGCTGTGACATAATCGTCCACTGAGAAAATACAGCAATGTTACGGCAGCTTCCTGTGTAAAGCTTTTTTCATGGGAAAATCAGGTTTGTAATGGAAGCAGAGGGAATGGTACTGCAGCGGCACAGATTACTCAGAGTCAAGGACTGAATCTCTATTTCTGTGGCACTGACAAGAGCCTGATCCAGATGCAATAATGTCTGGATTTAATCTCCTCTCGTCTTGCTCTCTGTTTTCTCTCTATAAAACTGCATGAGTCATGTGTTCTATAAATGGAGGACAAGATGGAGGAAAGAAATAAGGACTACAGTGACTGCGAAGCAATCAGTGTAATGCAAATGAGGGGGGAAAATGAAGACGAGTAAACAAGTGTGAAATTGAATTAACGCATCATAGCAGCTGGCACCTCACAGAATGTAGGCTGGACACATATTTACAAAAATGCCTCCTATTAAATCCTACAGTGATGTCATGAGAGGAAATATGGACGTTACGTACCTCTCCAGCAGCTCGGTAGAGATTACAAGAAACAGATGGATGAGGAACTGCAGCAGTCTCTGGATCTGAGAATGTCCTTAATATAAGAAAATGAGAGAAAGCGGAGAGATGGAGGACACTGAAAGCAGGAGGGAGGAGAATGTGAGAGGGAGAGGAGGAGAGACTGGGATGTACCATCTAGTCCTCAATAACAGGGGGAGTCTATTTTGTTATCACATCCTGGGTTATAGAGCCTTTTTAATGAAGAATATTCTTAATCAAGTGAGTTTTTGTGGCTACATTGAGGGTTATTTCAAGATAGCGAATCTTAGTGTTGGATTATTTCAACATTTATCAATACATGTTGCAAATAGGATCATGTGAAAATGATTTTGTCGGGTTGTTTTTGAGATACAATACAGTAGGAGTTCATTATTAATTCAGTAACTTAAGTTAAACTCCTGACTTTCACCTTTGGGTTTACTTGAGGGTTTTATGTTGACAGTGATACTGTTTTTATACACAGTCCCCATATTTTCTGACAGAGCAAGAGCAGATAAACACCTTCCAAATTAAGGCAGACAATCAGAGCTTTAGTCTCATTGTTTCATATCAAAGACAGTGTGCTGTAACATATAATACAGTGTGCATTGTGTAGATAATAACTATATTAATTGCAAATTAATTCATCTAATACTATCTTTAATACACTCTGATGGAGTGTCAAATATAAAGTAAAAGACATTCAGACAGAATTATACAGCACCACAAGAGGTCACAAATGCTACAAGAACAAATCATTTTTATGACATTTGTTCCCCGCAGAGTTAAACTGCTGTAAAGGCTTTTTTTCTGTATTTTCATTGGCCCCACCACCCTGCCCTAGTGACACCCCTCAGCATCATCTTCTCTCAGTTCCCATAAGATGGTTGGGGACTTAATCATCTTATTAAGAAATGAGTCATGCAGCTTTTGAAAGGGGAGTCACCCTACATCACGTTTTCCCTGTCTATACATGTATTATATATCAAAGGGAAATGTTACTTTGCAAATATGCAGAGTGAATTCTGTTGCAATTATCAGTGCAACAACACACAGCTTTGAGTCTATTTGCAGACGGAGATGAGCCACATAACCAGGAGACCTGAGGTCAGCAGTATGTGTGAGAGTGAGAAGTGCCTGTGACTGGACGAAGAAGTGCTTTCATGAGGGTTTGCCTCTTTTATTATTTTTCTTAATAAAGTGTTGGCACATCTTCCGACTGTTGGCCTGCATTTTTGACAGATGACAGTATGAGTATATTTTATGACGTTTGCTAATCCACGCCCAGTGTACGTACATCCAGGAAAGATTGTAGTGTGTCAAGATAGTAATCGGTGCAGTAGGGAGCTGTTGGTGAAATGCGTACTGGGTGACGTAAAAGACACCATCGTTCACAACGCTGATGAGAGAAGTTTGCTTGGTTAATAAATAAATAAATAAATAAATTATAATAATTAAAAAAAATCTGCCAGTCTCCATTCACTCTCTATATAGAGGAATATCTTCTCATCAAATATGTATTTGAAATATCCGTTTATGTTTTCTATGTAAATTATTAACATAGGCACAATATGATGTTGAAATAAAATCTACGCCCTTGAATATAGGAAAGAACTAGAAACAAAACGTAAAATTATGATACCACACGTTCACTAAAAACATTTTTGCAATAATGAAAAGATAGCCCATCTGTAGGATATAAGCCAAGAATACTAGTTACCCTGTTAAAAATTATAATAAGTAGCTGACTTTATGTTTTCATTACTTCAGTAAAATATTTAATTATTACATTTGATTACTCTTTAATTATTTCTCTAGCAAATGTTTTAAACTGTGTGATAAAGCTGAAACGTCCTAGAAAAACATAAGTGCATAGATGTTGCACTCAAATTAGCTTTGCTGACATGCATTGCCCAGAAATATACCACAAGAAGGCAATAAGATGCAGAGCAACAGAATGAATGTTATATTCTACATATAAGGTTCTGACAAAAAAAAAAAATATGGGATGTAACCCATTGTAATTACCAATATTTTGTAATTTAAGTGCATATGTTTTTCTCAGTAACTGCAACTGGTTACAATTACATTTATTTTGTAATTTAATTTCATAAATTCAGTACATGTAATCCCCCAGTACTCCCCAACACTGTGTAAGGCCTATGCTTCGGTTCCAAATCAAATTCAGTACATAACATTAATTTTTAATAGTTTCAAATAGGCTATACACACTTTCTGACATTTTAAATGGGCTCTTATGCATTTCTTGTTGAATGTTTATTAATGCAGCAGCTGACAGGAAATAAAACAGTTTCTCTAAACAAACAGAAATGAAACGTCAAGTTGATCTCTGCCTGCACCAGTTTCCTTCCTGTAAGGAGCGTTTGGGAAAAATCTAAACTGCGCATGCGCCACGGCACAACCGAGTCTAATCAAATACGCTTTTTTGGCATTTGTCGCCTTTAATGTACCTTAATGCTATCTTTTTTAGCTTTCAAATAAAAGGGCTTCCTTAAAGTAATGGCAAACTGACCAAAGGAAAGCGTGTCAAAGCCTCACGGAGTCTTTCTGTGTGACTTCACACAAAGGAGGTGCAGCCTCTCAGAGAACACTGCCATCTTTGATTCCGCTGCCGATTCCTTGAAATTCAGAAACCACCGGTGGCGCCCTTTCTCCGCAGGATCCGCAAAGTGTCAGCGGTCTGCCAGTTACAAAAGCGAGGCAGGTGTGCGTAAACAGAGCGTTGTACGGGAATTGCGCAGCCAAACACGGAAGGGGAATACGTACGTATTTTTCCCTCAGTGGGAGAAATGTCCGAGGGGATGGGCCAGCTTGTGTGGAAACGCTGCCTCCGTTTAGCTGCTCTCCGTGCTGGGGGTTCGGGAGTTGTCCGACTGATGGCTCACACCAGCCACTGACTACAGCGTGAGAAACGAAGGGCTCGTCTTGTTAGTGAAAGCCGAGGCAGCGCTGCCTTCTTGTGGATAAAACCCATCATGCCGAGCTCCGACGGAGGGACACGAAAATGACCCATAGTCAGTGAAGTGCTACAGCCGACGACGTGTTGAAGTTCAGCGGAGAAGCCGTCAGTCTCCAGCGGTTTGAAAACCACCGTGTAATTAATAACGGTCCTTTCATGGCATGTACGAGGTTTGCCTGACAGCTGGCACACAACCCGAGGAGGCTCCGGCTCTTTGATGTCCCTGGATCCATTCATCCTCGCGTTGTAATGACGTCTGTACGGGTATTATAATTCTATCGGTGAGACATTTGTGAATTCACCCCCCCCCCCCCCACCCCACCCCAGCCGTGAGCCGGTGTCGGGGAGATCGGCTGAGGCGGGTCGGCAGTCGGAGGGATATGGGAGAGCGAGCGGAACCGATGCAGTGGGTCTTGGCAAGGCATCGTCAAAATACAGGTGAGCGGCGGGATGAAGGCACCGACTATCTGACTGATTACCTGCCTTTAGCTATGTGCACATGCAGGACAGCCAGCCAGCTGCGGCTCGGACAGCGTGACCCGGCTTTTTAATCCGTGTTTCAGTGCTGGTTTGAGACACATTTCTTAGGCCACATCTCCGTTAGCTAGGCCCGCAGGATGCCACCTTAAGCAGCTGTCCCGATTAAATAAGATTAGACACTACCGCCGCTGCTGCTGATCTACTTGTTGGAGGCACACATTTTGATGCTGTTGCACAGATAAACACCCCGGGCTGCAGCTAACTGTAGTTCAGCTTCAATTATTGTGCATTTGTCTGTTATTTTAGTCAATGTGCGGCTATAAAATGACAAAAAATATGGTAAATGCCAATCACAAGTTACAAAAGCTCAAAATGATGTGACAGTCTCTTAATCTATAGCTGCTAGTTCTCCAAAGTACTCAGCTGAATTAGTGCACAGTGTCACTATTACAAATATTGGTGTTGACTCATGTTTCTTATTTTTATTTAGTAGCTTTAAGATCAGTCCACGTCTTCTCATTAGAAGCAGGCTTCACAACCCTAGCCTATGCATCATCTATGCCAGTGGTTCTCAACCAGGGGTCCGGCAACCCCCAGGGGTCCTTGAGGGAGTTCCAGGTGGTAAAGTGACCTTCACTTGTGTCGAGCCTTTCTAGTCATCTGACCACTCAAAGCGCTTTTTACACGACAAGTAACATCCACCCATTCACACACTGGTGACTGAGGTTACTGTACAAGGTGCCAACTGCTACTCAGTTCTTAACACACTGGAACAGCCATCAGGAGCAATTTGGGGTTCAGTATCTCGCTCATGGATGCTTCAACATGCAGACAGGAGGAGCCAGGGTTTGAACTGCTGATCTTCCAATTAGAAGACGACCCGCTCTACCTCACTATAAAGGTGAGCCTAATGTGTGTTAGGGCCCTGACACACGAAGCTAGTGGTTGGCTGATGGTTAATGTTGGGTCGTCACCCCAGTTTTTGCGGTGTGTCCCGCACCATCGGCCCTTGTCGGTCCTTCCTAGCTTTTTTTCAGCCAATGTTGAAGAGATGCCGGAGACGGCCGAGCCCATCGGTGAGTAATCACTCTGATTGGCAGTTCAGCTCAATGCAGGAGAAGAGAAACAGAAGCGAGGGATGTAAACAAATGGCTAAAGTCAAGAAAGAGGGCATGAGATTGAAACAAACTTGTTATACAAGGTAGGATTATTTCATCAGCCAATGAGCTCTTTAGCAGAAACAGTTCGTTACTGTTTGCTAACTGGCTAAGAAGTGTCTTCAATCCATCATGCCGGTCTCCCGGTTTCGCTTTTTGAATGAGGAATACAGACTACTGCCAGCGCAGAACGTGCCGGTTGGCCATTGGATGCAGTCTTTGCAGAGTCTTCATTGTGCAACTTTGTGGTGGAGACACAGGCAATGTGAGGCGACATAACAGTCAACCTTCAGCGCCACGAGTTCTTTTATGTCTCTTTGGTGTGTCTGGGCCTTAAGAGTCAATATTGATTCTGGGTTTTACTTTGTCTATGGTTATCTCCTCAACTCTAGACAGCCAGAATTCTGGTCTTAATCAGATGTAACAAACAAAACCTTTTCAGATGGAGGCCCCTGAAGTGAAATCTTATCAAATAGAGGTCCATGACCTAATGTGTATCAGTT